ATAACCTTTCTTCTAGCTTATTGTTACTCTTCAGTGTTATATCTTTTTCCATTTCTTGTTATTTGTTTCAGTATTATCATATTCTTTCAGCATCAGGTTATCCTTTTAGTAATCATCTCAGCTGGCAGTGAGAAACTACATGAGGTGACTCATCAGCTTTGGTAAATCTCAAGAAATATAAACTACACATCACTATCTAGTAACTTGCTAACTGGCGTGGGCAATCATGCCTCTCCATAATCTGCAATCTTCAACACCATGTATCAGTTTGTGTGCTGACACCCTTACATGCCATGACAAACGGAGTCAAGAATCTTTTTGCGTTGTCTTCCTCTTTATCTTTTTCCACGATCTTTCCAGTGGTCACAACATGCACTAATGTTAACATAATAAAACACGACCACAAAGACATCTTAGTGGTTTTAGTTTAGTAGGTAGACCAATGAGTTCCTGGTAAAGTGGTTTGAGATTCAATCTCCAGTTTAGTAGTTCTCTGACCTGTAAAGCTCCTGGGTCACATGGGCATGCACAAAGGTTAACAAAGATCTGTGGTGTGAAAGCAACACGGGTCATCATCATCATAAGCCATCCTGAGAGGCACAAGCAACACTGGTCATCCACAAGCATCTGTCCTCAGTGTTGTGGACCACTGATGAGCTTCCATGCCATGTAGTCAAGTTATCCAGCATTTTCTCCCTCTCTTGAACCCAACATCAACACTCTGGACCCTGCTCCTCAGCACAATACCAAGCAGTCTCTCTCATGTCTCAGAAAACTAAAGCTAAAAACTATTTTAAAAAACTAAAAACTTTTAAAACACTAGAGAAGAAAGGAATGAGGTAACTGGAGGGAGGGAGGGAAAACGAGGAGGAGTTTAGGAAGCCAAACTAAACAACAGGTTTTTCAGTTAAATGAAAAGAACACTGACATTCAAGTGTCTATTTTGTTTTAAACATCTGGAGAAAGAAGGGGTGAGGGTGTGGAGGATGAAGAGCTGGGGAAAGAGAGAGGAAGAAAAAGTAAGAGTCAGGAAGAGGAAGGGATGAGAGCAGGAAGGAAGAGTATGAGGAAAGAGCAGAAAGAGGTGTCAGTAAGGAGGAGGCTGAAGGAAGGAGTGTAAGATGGGAGGAGGAAGGAGTGGGAGTAGGGAGGAGAGAAGAAAAAGAGCATGAATAGAAAGGAGAAAAGTGTGTGAGGAAGCTGGAAAATAAACAAAAGTGACAAGAAAACAAAAGAACATTAAAAATTAAAGCACATGTAGTTGTGTGGACATCTGGGAAATGAAGGAGGTGGATAGAGCAAGAGGAAGGGCTGGGACAAGTAAGCAGGAAGAGTAAACCAAAAAAAAAAAAAAAAAAAAAACCAGTAGTCAACTAAAGAAAAGAAAACTAAAACATTGACAGTTCTGCAGACACCCTGTAGGAGAACCACAAACATAAAGCAACTCTTAACAAATACATCAGCCAATCTTGAAGAACACACTAACTGAGCATCCTCACTGTCTTACTGTGAGCGACAGAAAATTTCCTGGCCTAATTAAATCTAATTAAAAACAATAACAACTGTTTCCCAACTGCCAAATATTTATGTTTCAACTGTGAAGGTATGTGACAGTTTACAACCAGCAGTCAATGGCCAGTGGCCAGAAAAAAAAAGTATTTAAAAAAAAACACAATAGTACAGGGCTTTCCAACTAACTTTACTCAGAAACCACAATTCTGAAAACTGGGATCATCACGGGTCAGAGACTCAAGCCTTAGCAATGAACGATCATTAATACAACTGGAAATGAATCGTAGGCCAACAGTTAGGTCTCTGCCGGTCACCAGTTGAAGAGCCCTGCGTTAGTACAAACTGGCAACATACATATCAGCGTAGTAAATACTTTATACACATTTATAACTTACGATTCCATTCATGAACCATTCAACCAAACAAAACATATCTTTGATATTTTGGTCAAAATATTCATATCTGGGGTGGCAACAGAGAAAGATCGCAGTCGCCAGATGGCACAAAGAAAATGTCGGACATGGCCACAGAATAAATAATATATGTTGTCACATACGATTCAAATTTCGGCAGCTTGCAGTCAGAGGGCACATGAAAAATATCTTGCTGCAGCTTGTTATCATCATTAATAATATCACTGCTAGGCTCCCCCGCGTGGGCTCCAGGGAGCCATTGTGGGGAAAACAAGAACAAACCCACTGCCTCCCCAACAAGCATGTTGAAGGAGTTGACTAAATGGGGACTTCCTTCCAAGTCAGAATGCATCTGCCTGAGCGACACGGAACAACCAACTATACACAAATGAGCCAGTAAAACGGATGTACATGCAAAATCAGGTCCTGGCACAAAGCCAAAGTCCAAATGGGCGAACGACCAGGACTTTCCGCTAAAGCTTACAGCCACTGAACATAGAAGAAAATATCCTCGCTATACCTTGAACATGTTAACCTCATTATTATCACACCTTGATAAGTCTCATCCCTATCAATATCATTATCATAATTTGTTACTACTCATCATTGTCCTCACATTTTTTAAGTCTCATCACTATCAATACCACTATCATAATTTGTTACTTCATCTTCCTCAATATTTTGATAAAGTCTCATCCCTATCAATTGCAGTATCATCATCATAATTTGTTTTCTCATGATCATTACACCTTGATAAGTCTCACCACTATTGCTTCCAAGATTATCATGACAACTCTTGATGTAAATATATTTACATTTTAAAAGAACAGTTTGGAAATAAATGACAATTTGTAATTATCATGATCCTCAACTCTCAACGTTGCACAAATTCATTTTGTAAAGTGAGTAAGACAGAAGAAAAATAAAAAAGGAAATCTACCCCCCCCCCCCCCCCCAAACCATGCGGGGAAAGAGGCTACAAGTTTATTTACTGTTCTGTTTGTGGTATAGGGAAGCAAACATGTAAGGATAATCTATTCATTTTTTTAAAGGTATTTTCTTGTGTGTTTTTTTAAAGATAGAAAGAAAACATCACATAAACTCTACAACGGCAAGATGTGCCGAAGCAGCCAGAAGAGCAAGAAGCAGTATCTTATATCTCACTTGAAGTAGTAAAACAGAAAGTGAAGGAGAAGCAGAAGAAGAAGAAGCAGAGGAAAAAGAAGAAGAGGATTTCTTGTCTTTTTTTCTGCATCTTTGGTATGACATGAGCACAGTTTAAAACCGAAAGTGTGGTCTACAGAATATAATTTTAGAACCACTGGACAGAAGAGAAAACAAATGCTGAAGTATTAACAGCTTCAGGAGGGAGAACATGGATGTAAAAATAAAAAAATTATAATAATAATAAATGGTAGGCTGGGATCTTGATCTTGAAGAGAAATAACAAACATAAACTTGACCAGAGATGACTACCACTTACTTGACTGGCATGGGCAAGTCATTATTCTACACACCAGGACCGAACATAGTAACTTAACAAGCATATGCACAGGCTTTGTCTAAGTAGTTCACCACTGTGCTGGTGTGAGCTGTGTGTGCAGATTACAGAATATGTCCTGCAAGAATGTCCCTTGAAAAGAATACTGGCCCAATGAGTCAACATTGTACTCAAAGTTGTATGGAACTAATAGGGAACTCCTAAAAGCAGTCAAGTTTTATCACAAGTCTGTCGGTGTAAATCAGAAAGCAAACACAAAAATAAGAAGACATATCCTGCTGCATAAATGTGATGTTGAAAATACTAGTGAATGAAAAAAACCAAGATGATATCAAAAAGTAACTCAGAACTTAAATTATAATCAGAAATCTCAATGGGATTTCTCAGGGGCTTATGATGTTGAGAGTTGAGAAAACAACAGGCTGCAATAAGCCAGATCTGTCAGATCTCTAAAACAGATGTGCACTCAAAATTCAAGTCCTGTAGCAAGACCAAATTCCAGAAGTGAGTGAAAAAAAACCCAGGGCTTTGCCCAAAGTTTACAGCCGGGGAACACTAAGAAGAGGAAGTTGTGGTGTCGGCTGACACAAACTTTGATTAAATGTTCAGTTGTGTGCCTGTCTTTATCTGTCCTTCGACTGACCTTTCTGACAACATCTGCTGTTCACAAATGTAAACAAAATGCTGGGGTATATAGTTGTGATGAAGATAGTAAGCATCAGATAAGACAACAATGTTGCTGTTGGCAGATTTCTGTCTTTCCAGACGACAGTGTTACACTGAGCTATAGGGAGGCAGGAAAACCCCATCCCATGCTGATAGCAAGTGTGACTAGCAAGCCCACCATCTGTAAAAAAAAAAAAAAAGATGTACATTTCTTTTAATTTTGCGGTACACTGATTTTTGCAGCTCCAAGCAGCAAATGAAGCACACAGGCCTTGGTGGATCAACAAATTATTTGCTAGTGGGTTGAGGGGGGGTGATGTGAAATTCAAGACCAACCCTCGATGAATGTTGATGAGATTCCATGTGTTGTCCAGACCCCAGTTTGGGGTTAAAAACAAAAATACAAAAGAAGAGGCCCACTGCACCTGCCCACGACAAGCATGTCCTATAAGGCAATTAATTAGGAGTGTTTCTTTTGAACGGTGCATCTGCCAGAGGGACGAGGAACCAACTCTCTGCAGATAAATAAGCCAGATCTGTAAAAACAATGTACTTGCAAAACTCAAATTCTGGAACTAAAGTCCAGAAATGGATGTTTAAGAAATTTCTGCCCGATTTTATAACTGGTGAATGCCAAGAAGAAGAAGAAGATTACTTTTTCACAAGATCGCAAACCAGTATAATTAATTTTTGTCTATAAAGACAGAACGGAATGACAAAATAATCTGTGAGCTGAAGTGACACAGAAATCTCACAACAGCATGGTATTAACCATATTAAATTTCGACTGAATGCAACAGCATGTCAACATATTTGAATGAAACAGACATTTATCTACAATCCTCATGTGATATTTCTTGTTAAACAGTACCGTTCTGTTGCTGAAAGACCCTGATCTGTTGTCCCCATCATTGTATCGTCTCGACCACGTTTGTGAGAATGTGTTTGACAACGAAAGCAAAGGCTGCGAATCCCACAATGACTAGCATGTTCGTGACTGTCGCCCCAAACTGCCACCTTGGCCCGACTGCGTTGTTATCACCGGGAGGCCCTGCACCGTTGTTCACGTTGCTATTTTCGGTGTTTGCCAGGCTGGCTGACTCTGTTGATTTCTTTAATTCTTCTGCTTGTTTCCGTAAGTTGTCTCGAATTTTCTGGAACAGTTAAGAATGAAAGCATGAATTACCACGTAAGACTGAAGTAAAAAGACCATGACCTGTCTCCGCACCTCGGCGGGTATTGTTATCTGCTGCTACTGCCATATTTTATAAACCAATTCGCTCCCTGCGTGAGTTCCAGGGTCCCATGCAGGGTGTAACAAAACAAAAAACAGATTCAATGCTCCTTACAACAAGCATGTCATAAAAGGCAACTAATTAGGTGTTTACACCAAATATCAGAAACACAACATAAAAAACACCAGATTAACTGCCAAAACACCAGATTAACTGCCAAAACACCAGATTAACTGCCAAAACACCAGATTAACTGCCAAAACACCAGATTAACTGCCAAAACACCAGATTAACTGCCAAAACACCAGATTAACTGCCAAAACACCAGATTAACTGCCAAAACACCATACCTCAGCTAAATCTGGAAAGAGCTCACAGAATGTTTTGTTGGACAAATTAAAGGTCAGACTCTGAGCTGCAAGCTGTCTTTTCTGTAAGAGAAAAAAAAAAAAAAAAAAAAATCAGCAATGGGAATTGTATGAGTATTTAAAATTTTTAAAATAAACTACAGCTGCAACAACAATTAATTCAAAGTAAACCAATGCGATCTAAAACTATGGAAAAAAAACAAAATAATTTTAAAGCACTGCCATTTTGGTCCAACCTTTTTTAACTAACACTTGGAAATGTTTATCTTTCTCCCTTTTATATTGAAACAATGTTTTCCCCACTATGAATTTAAATAATGAGGACACAAACGATACACAGCAGAATTTATTGTTATATTTCACTATACCTCATCATGTGCATTACTACAGTCATATCAATATACAATGAATCACAAAAATGAATCCTTTCCAACAAAATACACAAATCACATTATATCTAATTACACTGTACATCTCACTGTCGGAAATTCAAAATTAGCCAGATGATGAACAAGGCAATTTCAAATTTACCACATGCTCTTTCTGTTTGCACAAAACAAGATTGATCATTTTAATTATCACTGCTTTCACCAGTTTCAGTAAAAGTCTATTCAGTGTATTAAAAATAACTTGAAAGTCATAATCCTTACCGCCTTTGTGCCCTAAGTTGAGCATATGATGTCCTATAGAAGAATAAGGTTTCCTCTTCTTAGCTGAGCTGATAAAATTGTTAACACCACTAGAATACTGTATGTATGCAGACATAATCAGACAAACTTACTGTGTACAAACTTGTCTCTATGCTTCCTAATGTAGGACTTTTTTCCAACTGAAAAACAACAATAAATAAAAAATAATTACACTAAAGTGAGACTCCAAGTTTATCTAGAAAAAATATATATATATATATTCGACAACTCTATGGACTGACAAGCTGCCATGATGGACAGTAATCTGTTTCTGTTGTTTTCATCCTCAAAATAGCAGTTGGCGCAATGTGTTTTACATCGATGCTTCACAGCAAACAGGTCACGACATAGCTGCTCCGTTCCTGTTCCAATAAAAACCATACAGAATATCCACCACTGTCCCATGTGGAAAACATTTACACAGACTGCAGTCTCAGCCAATCCAACAGTATACTATGCATTAAATGCACAATGCAGGCATCAGAAGTGCCAATACAAACAGTCAGACACTAGAAATGTAGTTAATCATGGACAGTTTTAACAGCTCAGTAGCTGCACACGCAATTAACCACATAAGGTACCATCAGTTATGTGGCAACTGGCCACTCAACATTCTCTGAATCTACTACAGTTCATAAAAAACAAACCACACTGGGCACAGCTCCAAATCGCTCCAAATGAAAGCTGCAGATCACAGTGTCGCTGTAACAGGGAGAGGTCATCACTTGTTTGTCAGGAGGTAGGATATTGCATATTAGTTGTAGGGACATAATTCAACAGGTCTTAGTAATCTGGACATTCCTTTCTAGAACCATCAAGGGCAGAGAGTTATTTGCAAAAGAATAACTTAGTTATATAAATAGCATATGACGTAATCATTCTCGTGCCATGTCAAAGAATGACAGCCTTATCGAACTGACTTTCTAGAAGGCCATAGGACACATATCAATCCGATTAGTAGGTTTTAGTGCAGACAATCTGATGCAATTGAGATGTAATTAGAAAATTCCATGTAAGAAGGGTGGCAATTACAAACACTAGAACCAGTTAACGAAGTAATTAGAGACGATAAACACAATGTGACCTCAAAAGTATGTAACCATAGAGCTATAATAGTGGTCATTTAGAATATCATTAATGTTGATGTGTGTGATGTAACTGAGGTATCACAATAAAGACAGTACATAGAAGAACGGTTGTTTCTAGACATTTTATTTTTCAAGCATTAGAGATGTGAGAAGCATGTGGCAAGCAAGACATCATCATCATCACCACTATTGACATGACCATCTTTATCCTCATCTATTCTCTTTTAATTGACTCATGTAGCAAGATGAACCTGGGTGTGACAACAACATACACGAAGAACACAGCTGTGCTACACCGTGCCATGCAGTTTAATTAGTAGCTGGGCGATGAAACTATATCCTTTCAGGCTTTAGAAAGAGGAAAATGCAAATGCCAACTAAAGCCAGAGTCAAAAACTTGCCATGACTAAAAACAGTACCCTCTCCATATTGACCAGAAGATCTTGGCGGAGAGTATCAAGGGGAAATAATCTGATACTGTCCACCACTGTCACCACTACTAGACTGCTTGCTTGCTTAGTCGCTCCTCTTCTACCCTGGGGTGTAGGGGTTTGCCAGAGAAATCGCCATAGGCACCACTACTAGAACAACCGAATATTCTTTGTTAGTTACCAGGGAATCTGGCCAACACTCAACGGAAAGGCGAGATGGATATACAATCAAGACAGTAACTGATGCCATCAGAACTGAAACTCTTCACTTGTTGCTGAAGATGGGGACAGAGCGCTTATGGGGGACTCGAGTGCGGTGATGTCGATTCTTAATTCAACAATCAACATACTAAAGCTGCTGTGCCGCCCACTGTTTGAAATACTAAAGATGCAGTGCCACCTACTGTTTGTAATACCAAAGCTGCGGTGTCGTCTACTGTTTGTGATACCAAAGATCTATATACTCACTACCATCAATTATAAATAACAAATAACCTACACAATATTAAATAACCAAAAGCAATTTAACAAGAGTAAATATCCAATAGAAATAAAAAGAAAAGACATCTATATATCCCAATTATAACCTAGATGGCTTGAATAAAATAATCTTATTTAAATAACTACTACTACCGCCAACACTAATACTAACACTACCGCCACTACTACTACCACCATCACCACTACTCCTAAACCACCACCTTTACTATGAAACCACCAATACTACTCCCACCACATCCATCCACCACTACTACCAACACCACACCTACTACCACAATCACTATTAATACCACCACCACTACTACTAATAATATCATAAATACTAATAGACATCAGACTAAAAACTAGATATCAGACTAAAAAGATATAAGACTAAAAACTAGATATCAGACTGAAAACTAGATACCAGACTGAAAAGATACAAGACTAAAAACTAGATATGAGACTCACCTACTACCACAATCACTATTAATACCACCACCACCACTACTACTAATATCATAAATACTAATAGACATCAGACTAAAAACTAGACATCAGACTAAAAACTAGATATCAGACTGAAAACTAGATACCAGACTGAAAAGATACAAGACTAAAAACTAGAAATGAGACTCACCATAAAACTCAGAAGTCCAGTGAGTATTGTGGAGACTGACCAGGCAGGATTCCATGTGTCTGGGTGGAAGTCACTTATTGACAAACACAGTCTGTGTGTGAAATACAGAGGGACAGCAGTGACATAATGTTAAGGGCCTGCTACATTAACGGATATGTTGATGGCATATAGTAGTGGGCATGATGATGAGGCTGCTTGTAGTAGTAACAGTGATGATGTTGGTGATGGTTGTAACAGTGATGATGTTGGTGATGGTTGTAACAGTGATGATGTTGGTGATGGTTGTAACAGTGATGATGTTGGTGATGGTTGTAACAGTGATGATGTTGGTGATGGTTGTAACAGTGATGATGTTGGTGATGGTTGTAACAGTGATGATGTTGGTGATGGTTGTAACAGTGATGATGTTGGTGATGGTTGTAACAGTGATGATGATGCTAGAGGTGGTAATAATGTTGAGGATGATGGTGAGGATGATGAAGGTGGTGGTGGTAATAATGATGATGAGGATGGTGACTGTGGTGGTGACAATGTTAATGATGATGGTGGTGGTGACAACGATGATGTCTGTAATGATGATGATTATGGCTGTGATGGTAGTGATGATGATGCTAGAGGTGATGGTGATAATTATGGTGATGATGGTGGTGGTGGTGAAAATGATGATGACTGTGATGATGCTGGTGGTGGTGGTGACTGTGACAATGATGCTGGAAGTTATGGCGATAATGATGATAAATGTGACAATGCTGGTTGTGACTGTGATGATGATGCTGGAAGTTATGGCGATAATGATGATAAATGTGACAATGCTGGTGGTGACTGTGACGATGATGCTGGAAGTTATGGCGATAATGATGATGACTGTGACAATGCTGGTGGTGACTGTGACGATGATGCTGGAAGTTATGGCGATAATGATGATGACTGTAATGATGGTGGTGACTGTGACGATGATGCTGGAAGTTATGGCGATAATGATGATAACTGTGACAATGCTGGTGGTGACTGTGACGATGATGCTGGAAGTTATGGCGATAATGATGATAACTGTAATGATGGTGGTGGTGGCGATAATGATGATGACTGTGATGATTATGCTGGAGGTGGTGGTGATCATGCTGGTAATGATGATGGCGATGATTATGTTGATGACTGTAATGATGGTGGTGGTGGCGATAATGATGATGACTGTGATGATGATGGTGGTGATGATGACGATGACTGTGATGATTATGCTGGAGGTGGTTGTGACAGTGTTGATAATGATGATAGCGATAATTTTGGTGATGATGGCGATAATTATGGTCGTGACGATGATGATGCCGGAGGTGGAGGCGAGGGGATGGTAGTGGTGATGATGATGATACAAGAATCTTACCTTGTGTTACACTTAAACCTTCCATTTGGAGTCAGCATGTAAATGCTGGGTGGCTTAAAGGGGAACTCCCTGGGAAATACCAACTTTCCATGATAGATCCCGCCTGAAATCAGCAGTCAAAGCCATGATTAATTTTTGAGAAGATAATTTCCCCGTAATAAGGAATCACAGTAATAATGTAAAGAATCCATTCCATGATTCTGGGTTTATGGTGTGGCAGAGTCTGTAAATCTCCTGAGAACCAACTTATCTATATAACAGGCTCCACGTAGGGGTCTTAACATTCAACAGTTTAATTCAAGATATTTTAGCTATGGCCCTCACCGTTTACTGCTTTTTCTGGCTAGTATTTATTTTCAGCAATTTGTACTATATATTCGTATAATGTCTGTTCATATTTGTGGTACTGAATATTCACGTAATCTGCTGATAAATATGCTTTGTATGTTTTTGTGCTGATAAGGACTGTCTTGAGGCAGACCAGTGCCATCGTAACACATGGGCCCAATGGACACTGCCTGGTTTCCCATGAGCAAAGAGGTCTCATGTTGTGTATATTTTTAACTCTTTGAGTCCCAGGGGGTTTTGCACCAGAGGCCCAAGGGGGGTAATATGATTTTGACTTTTAACAAATGCAGCACTTTAAAACAAACCACACAACTGCAGCTGATGTCCAATATGCACGTATCATACATAAAATTAAACATAAATGGATAAGGATTAATATTAGCATACTGCTACAACAATTAATTATACTGTTAGTTAGTTTTTAGTAGAGAAAACAGTGACTTAGTTTGAGAGGTGAGTAAATTATGAACAAGTTTTTTTCCACTTACCCAGAAGCTGATCCCAAAATTCTTGATATAGTATATCCAAAATGCATCACAAAGGAAGGTACACCACTTATAAGTATGCACAGCCATTATTAAAGCAAAATGTGCAATAGTTTTTGTTCCATACTAATTTTAATAACACTACAATAACACGACAAAATATATTCTCCAGTGGCACAAACAGTGACTTTTCTAAAAATAATTGAATTCCTCACATAGAAAAAAACTGTAAAGGCACTGTAAACATGTCAATCTGTTCATAGATATATATCTATGTTTTAGATGATATGGATAGTAGTACTAGAAGCGCTGACATTTGGACTAGCTGGTGTCGCGTTACGAGGTGCCTCTCTTGTATTGCCAAGGCAGAATTAGTCAGTTTTGTCCTCTTAGCAGGAGGTAAATTACGCACACATCCTCATCAAAACTTGACTCGTCAACGGTTTGGGGAAATTTCACGTCGCTACTATCATTATCCAACTCCACATTACTTTAATTGATCCACTGTTTTATCAAATTTGATGATTCTAAAGCAGTAAATCGCTTTGATGGGCGTGAAGACGATGACTGATCGGACATATTGTTTTCAGACAATTGTTTGGTAACGTAGTAGACCACACAAATATCGATTTAAAGCGTTAAAAACTCACCAGACCCAAACGAATGCACTCCACGTGTGTACACTACACACTTGAGAACCGGAAAGGAAGTTTAAATTGAGCGGTCCACGTGTAATTACCGATAAGTGGTAAATTAAAAACCGTCACACGTCATGCGCTGTTTGGGCCGCCAAGTAGTAAAAAATGAGCGTGTGATGCGTTCCTTGGGACTCAAAGAGTTAATATTATCAACCATTTACAATTCATTCCTGTGAGTGGCTGCCATAGGGACATTTCCATGGTTACTAATTTTCTGTTCTGGTTGGTTGTGAGTGACCAAGTCTGGCAGCGGTTGCAGAGAGTGGGAATGAATACGCTTTGTAGGAGATGTTTCTTTGTGCTGATCAGGATTGTCTTTAGGCATTTCTCAACATGCATCCTATGCAATAGTGTCTTCCCCGCACCTCTTGATTCATTGGAATTTGTTACCTCTTCCAAGGCTAAAAATAAGTGACTTTATCATACCATTTAAGTCCCTAGATTCTGCGCAGGCACCAGCTAATCAAGGTTTATAGCTTATCAGTAACTGTTTTAGCTGTTCTCCATGTTTCCACTCCACACAGCAGTACTGATTTCATATTAAAGTTAACAACTTTTATGTCTGATATTAGTTTTTATCTCCGTTGATTTCCACAAATTTCCAAGTGCTATGAAAACTCCTCGTCTTGTGTTATCTTATTTAAATATCTATCAGTTCTCCCGTCTTTATTTACCCTTCTGCCCAAATAGCTGTAAGATTTCACATCTTAGAATGGGATGTGGCCAAGAGAAGCTAGATTACTGTCTGCCTGGTTAATTCTCATTATTTATGTCATTCTCTTAACTCTTTGAGTCCCAGGGAACGCATCATACGTTCTTACCTAGAAGCCCAATGAACGCATGATGTGTTGATTTCAGTCTCTTTTTACTACCAATTGGGCCTGTGATGCTAAAACCCCTGGGACTCAAAGAGTTCAGGATTTTTAAAGAATGTTTAATGGACTAAGGAAACTAAGAAAAATAGAATGAGATGAACTAGAAAAAAAAAGGGTGTGAGATGAGAAATGTCTGGACAACAGCTTGTATTAACAGTTAAAAGACAAAGAAGATGGCAAAATATTGTGCAGATCAAGAGGAAAAAGGGACAGAGAATTACCAAGCAGGCACAGAAATAGAAACAAATGACTGAAGTAACAAGGATGTCCTAGAGAAACTCTAAGATGAATGTTCCTGCAAGAAGCCATAGGGTGCTGGACTGGATTGCTCCCACGATATCGAGAGGACTGCCCAGGATAGAGTGGAACGGAAGACAGACGGCTAGCCCTATGTGAAGTATAGCCCTATGTGAAGTATAGCCCTATGTGAAGTATAGCCTTATGTGAAGTATAACGACACAACAGGATGATGATGATGTATTTTAGGTCTCCCTGTTTTTCTTCTGCCCTGTGAGTTCCAGGGAAATGACTTTGTAGATATACTTTTAACTCTCTCTCTCTATCATCTTCATGTCACTGGTGACACATAAGGCATTCACAAGTGATCTCCACTGTTGCTGGTCTGCTGCTTTTCTGCCTATGGTGTCCCATGTCCTTTTACATTCCTTCACTTCACCTTCTACTGTCCTTCCTCAGGTCATCCATCTCTACCTTTTCCATGTTATCTACTGGACAGCTGACCTTCCTAAGTGTCACAAGGCATTCTGTAAACATGCCCAAACCATCTCCTTCTTGTTCTTTTTATAATGTCTGCCACTGATGAAACATTTCTTCCTCTGTTCTTTATTTGTGATACAGTCTGGATAAAATATTCATAGAATTCTCCTTAGATATTTATTCTGAACAATCCCAAAATGTAAGATGTAATAAGGTTTGGTATAAGAGATTCAGCACATACAAAACAAACAGCACACATCTAACCTTACCTTCATATGGGGAATTCTCTGGACCCTCAACTATGTAATGCCTATAAAGAAAAATAGATGATTATTAAAATCCACGGAAGCAGAGGGTACACTTGAAGTCTAGTCTTATATTACCCATTCTTTCCCAACTGAATGTTGCCTATCTTTACTTATTAATTCATGATGTGTTACTGTATCCTTAGATTAGTCTCAACATACTACAGAAAACTGGCTAGATGTTTGGCCATGTGGCACAGCATATGATGTATCATTAAAGTTAATAAATCCATATCTTTTTTCTACTTTAGGGCACCCTGAAGACAGTATGATTCTTTTCGACATCAACAGACAAAATAATACTGACAGCAGAACAAAATAATGGATTAAGCAATGTCTTTTCCTTCTTCTTTCTTCCTTTTAGCCTACTATTTATGATGTAAAGGGAGCTGCCGTAGTCTAGCGGCTAGATGCTCACCTGCAGATCAGAGTGTCCTGGGTTCAGGTTCTGTTTCTGCAATATGGTGATGAAGGCTTTCAAGCCAAAACATTCAGTTATCATTCAAGATTGCCACCATGTGAAGCTGACTAGTTCTATTTCATGTTTTGATTGACACTGTTTCACTGTATTTCAATTTTCTTTTAAAGGTCTAGGCCTGGAGCAGATACTGTCATCTGTGACTGCAATTATCTCTGCTGTGTTATACTTTTATGACTATACCATTATTGTCAGCCCATGTACATCATTCTCTGTTCTTCTGTGCCTGCTGTCAGGTATTTTCACACATTATCTTCTTCTTCTTGGCATTTATTGGCTGTAACTTCAGATGGGGAAAATTATGATCATTTATCCACTCCTGGACTTTGGTCTTGTTCCAGAACATGGATTTTCCATGCGCATCCCTTAAACTTATCTGGCTTTTTAAACACAATTTTAAATGCTGTTTGTTGGTACCTTTCCTCTCAGGAAGATGAACTTCAACTTTGAAGGAAACACCCCTCATTAGTTCCCTTTTATGACATGAGTGTTAGAGGGACAGAGGGTTTATATATTTTAAAAAAAAAAAACTGGGTCCGGAACCCATGGGGGGGAGGGGGCATATCAAGCAAAAATCTAAGAACTAAAATAAAGAATTACATTTAAACAAGCAACAAAAAGGTTGAAGAAAAAAATGAGGAAAAAAAAAAGGTATTCACCATTCTAAGATATTAGAAGGCAACGGAGAAGCTTGGATGTAAGGCACAGGATCCTTCATGATTCTCATGTAATCTTGTTTCAGCCTCGCCGTGGCTGTGGAGTTTACTTTTTTCGCTGCCATCTGACAAAGACACGTTCAATCTTTTATTTGGGTAAACTGCTTAAAGGGTAAAAGCTTGAGATTAAAAACAGGGTTCTTGCATTGCATTAGAACCAGATTTAACATTAATATATGACTATATTTCAGATACCAGTACAACATGAACAGATACCTTGTTCAACCTTACAGAACAGATATAACTGAGAACCCAACTATATTTCTGATGTATCATTCTGTCCTAAGTGGACGCACGGTAAATAAGCTAAAATATCGTTTGAGACCTCAGAGATGAGATTCTAAAGAAGAATTGTTACAAAACTTGCTTCTGCCATGGCACATCGAAAAGTCTCTTTCTCTAGCCAATTTTCCAGTCCTATGTGCTTTTACAACCAAAGCATATTCAACGCTTTGTATCCACATTGGCACAGGTCTGCCTCTGCCTGTTTTTCCAGAAAACTGTACCCTCCATCACTGCTCTCTCCAGGCCAACATGACTTTCAAAATGACCCCAAAAAAAAAATACCTCACCTTTCGGGATAGGGTGCTGTTTATGCTGCAGTTCTTTAATGTCATTCAAGCTGTGCAAATCCTCATAAAACCACGAACCAAGAAGAAAAGGAATATCGATATCCTAACAGATCTTAAAATCAAGAAAGCTTGGCTAGTAAACAGCATCTTTCCCTGAAACTGAAATATTTTGTCGATATCAAGCACCATGGCAGACTGGAAAGAATGGTAGCAGAAGGCATGGCGCCAGGACTGAGGGACAGAGGCCTACCAGCACAAAGATGGACACAGGATATAAGTGACACCTTGGGCAGGAAAGAGCATGGCGCGGGAAATCTGGTGAGAGACCAAATTTCTTTCAGGCAGACTATGATGACAACAGCTAAGAATAAACCCAGCACCTTGGCATTACGAAACACATCTGCAATGCATAAGACACAGACAAAATCTGTGAGGAAAAGGGAAGGGGGAGAAGTTAGATTGTAATGAGGGGCAATCATATCCTAATTATTTAATTCATAACCAAATACCCACCTTGTTTTATTTTTTCTCTCCCTACATTACATACATGATATACTGTTCTTAACTTCAGTATCTCATCCAGATCTGACACTAACTCACCCTGCATTTAGTATTTCTGTAACTTTTGTATCTCACGAGGTACCCTTTGAACCACAATACACTCAAAATTGTACTGGTTCTTATAACTTCACAGACAAGACAAGATTTTAAAATTATGTCATCAAAATAGATTTCACTGCATACTGTGCATTCTCATGGGTGCCGGGTCATCTGTTGCAGCAGAAATCCCAAGATACCTTTGGGTCTTGTTTTAATCTGGGTCTTGTTTTAATCAAACTGCTTGATTTTAAAGCAGAGGTGGGCAACCTATGGCCCACAGGCCAATACTGGCCCCCCAGCAATTATTACTGACTGGTGAGATTGGTGTAAAATTACTAGATAATCTGGTTTTTCCATACATCTTCCATTAATAATATGATTTCTGCAAATAACCAGCTCAAAGACACTTTTAAGAATATACAGATGAGTTTCAGTGCGTGAATGTTGTCTGCCCAGAGGTATAGCAAGGGACTAGAGTCTTAGATTATTTCACACAAAACATTGTGATACAAGAAATCTGGGTGTTTTGTTCCTAATGGAGTATTCTTTTTCCCCTTTATGCCCCAAGATAAGGCCCACTGTTCAAAACAGGTTGCCCACCCCTGCTGTAAATTATCAACTACATTGACCTGAAAGAGCTAATGTATAAACTAAAAATAGCTGAAAGAAATTAAAGATGCAAGTGAAATATGGGCTATCCTCCGAATAACTGTCCCAAATTATCAAGGCCGAAAATATACCCTAACAGGGCCTCAGTCACATGTAAATTGGGGACCTCTTTTCTGCGACTACACAGCATACCGCGGAAAAGCTTCCGCCAAGTTAAAGTGACCGCTGAGAGTTATCTCCCACGCTGCTACACACGGTGCTAAACTAGATGGCTGGGACTCACAAGCATCTCCTGCAGCTTCCTTAATTTTATTTGCTCGTGAGTCCCAGCCATCTAGTTTAGCCCCACTCCGCGCCGCTACACAGCTACGCGAGATACTCTCAGCGGTGGGGGCATAGTGGCAAGAAAGAGATCCACAATTTACATGTGACTGAGGCCCTGTTAGGGTGTAATATCAGCCTTGATAATTTGGGACCGTTATTCGGAGGATAGCTGAAATATGTATGCCATATTAAAACACACAAAACTCTTACAAACAACACTACAGGTAGATCACATATGCAAGGGGTGGAACAGTAGTGCACATGTAAATATAATATAAAGAATATGAAGGAACAGCAAAATCGGGGAACTATAATCGTAAATGACTTTATCACCAAAAGGCAGTGATGAGAATTCTTTTTGCAGCCAGCCTTTTTCTGTGGGGGCGGCTTATAATTCGTTGATGTTACAAACACTCCTAGGACGTGAACAGATAATAATTTACTATAGAAACCAAGAAAAGAAATAAGTGGTTGAGTAATTACACTATTAGACTTAAGAGAAAGAATCGATGGAATCACATCAGAAATAATTCACTGTATTATTTCTGATGTGATTCCATCGTAAATACAGGCACTAGATTCGACCTGTTAATAAACAGCAGACGTGGAAGTTGGAGGATGCCTCGTTTCGTTTAGTTGTCTACTGTATGACCTGCTGTAGTTACAGATCCAGTAAGGTTTCCGAGCGAAAGATTGAATCATGCTTGTTATCAGGTAACATAGTACAGTGAAATACTGACCACATTAATGTCAGGGGAGGAAATGTTCCAAGAATTCAGGTTCTATGACCACAGCTGTCCCTGTCCCTGTACTTTTGGTGACAACCGGAAGAAACAGACAAGCCACTAAAAAAAAAAGTCACATGAATTGTTTCCGAAACAATCTTCTTTTTAAAAAAAAAGGACAAGACTGCACAATTTATTGCCTGAAATATTTCGCTTAATCCTGCCAGGTGAACACTATAGTTGCCATAGAAAAAAATGCAACTAATTGAATCCTTTACAAATTTGGCAATCTATAGTTTATGTCTTATTTATTCACATTGGCAACCGGGAAACACTGCTTTTATATTAAATTCTATATGCCTGGTAGTTTACGTGTTACTTCAGACAGTTCATCCTCTATCCAAGGCTTTTCAACTAAGTTTACTCTGGGGCAAAAATTTTGAACCTGGGGATCGACACTATCCAGAGGATTCCCCCCCCCCCCCCCCAATGACCTAAAAAATAATTTAAAAGAGGACACCAAAAAATCCTAAGCACTATTAACAAGTACTTGAAAAAAAAAAAAAAAAACAATACAGCAACAGGGGATATGCGCCTTGAATGGGTAGAAAGCATTAAAAAAAATCGCACTCAGCTTCCCTCACCTAGATCTAAACACCTAGTTTGCTTGCTTGCTTTGCGAAAATAAAAATAAAAACATCGTCACACTCAACAAGCATTTCTGAAGGGGAAGTTTAATTGTCTAGTTTAATTGTCATTATAATGAAGACTGGGTTATGTGCGCCATATACTATGGCGTAGCATTGTGTGTCATTAAGTAGCCATGAAAAGGACTCTTGCAGTGCTGATGCGATCAAAAGAGACAGACCCAAATACTGTATCGTGAGGCGACGAAGTGGTCTACCGGCGAGTCAGTGGGCGACCCGGTCGCGATCGTGTGCTCTGGCAATCTAACTCAAACCGTTTTGTCTAGTGAGGGGCAGAGCAACGATTTCTCTTCACAGCCTCTTGTCATATGAATGAAATAGTATCAGCACATCAGCAAACTAACTGATACCAGCTAATGGAGATCAAAGGGTGTGCAGAGGCATGATCACCAAGCCAGTCGGTAAGCGACCTAACAATGATGTTGTTGGTGGTGAACTCAAACACATACACATCCCCTTGTGGGTTCCAGGGCCTTATTGTAAAGTGGGGAGGGAGGGGGGGGGGGGAAACCCAATGCCCCTTAAAAAAAGCATTTCGTAAAAGGCGCCTTATTAAGGTTCTTTGAAATCGGACTGCATCTACCTGACAGACTAGGGACCAACAGTCTGCCTAAAAATAAGTCAGATCTGTATCCCACCCCCCCCCCCTTTTTTTTTCAAGGGGAAAAAAACGGTCAGAGGCCTTGAGTCCCAGGGTTCTAGCATCTAAAGACAAGGGTTAACCAGCATGAAGGTGAGCGCAAGATATGGGAGACTCTTTGAGTATGGAACATCGTCATCATCCTGTTTTGCAGTTTATAGGTCTACGTCACATATAGCTCACAATCCCTTAGATATCCAGAACCGTTGGCCTCCTTCATTAATATCAATTTTAGGGTTATTCCTGGACGTCCTCGTCACCTTAATCGATGTTTCCCATGTTAGTGACCGTTGGGGGATTTTCTGTTCTGTTCTCATCATGAACTGCACAGTATATCGCCATAGTCTTCGTCTTATAACTGTTGGTTTCAGCGGGTTTTTAAAAAAAATAGTCTTTCTTGAATTAATCTTATTTGGAAGGTAGTCAGTCTCTTTCTGATGTATTTAATCAATTGTCTTGAATCCCTGTGTGGGTTCCAGGACCCCATTTGAGGGTGGGGGGTAATAGATCCACTGCTCTCCATCCTACCCCCCCCCCCCCACTCAACAGGCATGACCAATTAGGGGTGTTTCGTTCAGAGTCTTCAGTGCATCTGTCTGAGAGGCAAGAAACCAACAGTCTGCATATAAAAAGGAAGATCTGTTAAATGAATGTGCACACAAAACTCAAGTTCTGTTCAAAACTAAAATCCTGAAGTGGTGAACAACTGGAACTTTCTGCTGGGGCTTAGAGCCAGTGAATGTGAAGAAAAAGAATAAGAAGAAGGAGAAGAAGAAGAAGAAAATGAAGAAGAAAATGAAGATAAAGCTATCTTCGGGAGACAACCTTTTTCAAGACGTCCTAATTACATTTGTTGTCTATCCACAAAGTTTTCATAATTCCTCTATA